TGTAAACAAGGGGCAATCAGAAAGCAGAAAACACCTGCCCTTCCCAGACACACACCTGGTGGAAGGGCAGCACAGGAGCCTTGCTCCATCCTCAGCTGTTGGAATTGCAACACATCAGAGAGCACACAGGTCCCCAGGCTGGCAGGGAGGTTGGTGGCACTGCCCTGGAAGTCAGATTTCACTTGGACAAAGGTTTTCTTAAGCTCCTTCCTGCTCACACCTGTTCACTCCCTGCACTCACAGCCTGTGTTTCCCCCCTCAAACTGCAGGTCAGAAATGTATTATTTGTATTTCCCAGCATCCAGTAACTGACTGACAAGAACTTCCCACACAAGTCTGGCCATCCCTGCTGTTCTCTCCCTACTGTCTGACCACTTATTTCAAAGCCTTTTACAGCCCACGTCGCTCTGTCTCATTTTCTTGGAGCCCACCATCCTGGCAGCTCTGGAGTTGTAAACGCTTCATGATCACAGTCAAAAACAGATAGAAGTTTCTCCTGTGTGCAATCAGGATTAACAAAACACTAAAATACACGTCCAAGTTTCAAATATTCTCTGTTCCCACCAAATAAGTTTCTCCAGGAGAGCACAAGCAAGCTGGAGGTGTGACTGTTCACGGCTGAGCACAACTTCAGGAGCTCCCACTGCTGTTTCCCCTGATTCCCTCAGCTGGAAATGCAGCAACTTTGCCAGTTAATTATTTTTTATGTTGATCAACAGACATATTTTTCAAGAGAAAAATACTTGGAAGTTACAGTTTGGGAAAAGAATCCCACATCAGTTATGCCAAATGAAAGTATAACTAATTTTAAGAAACATCATTACATGATGTTACATTTAAAAAGAAAAACTTTAGGAGTATAAACCTGCTCTTTCAAAATCAAGGCAATGTCATAGACACTATGAGCTTGATGTTTTCTCAGACCAAACTTCAACACGCAGACTTTAAGATTTACAAACAAAAAAAACCCTGCATTATTTCATCAGCTGCCCACCTGCTTCACTCTGAATTCAACCACATACAAGACTAAGAACCCTTAAGAGTTTTGAACTCCTGACACACCCCCTTCCCTCTGTATTAGCTCTTCCCTTTCTATTTGAGAGCACACTCAAAATAATCCAGGTATAGTAAATTTTAGTTGATCATAGTCAAAGCTTTTTCCAGCCTTCCCACTTCTGTTACCCAAAGAGTGCTCTCCTGGATACACTTTTGTTTGAAAGGCCATCAACTTTGATCTGGTTTTCATCTGTCTCAATGGGCAAGAGAACAGTGTGGCCTTTGGAGCCACGGATTCAGCAGCTGTGAACAGCAAAGCACTTCTCAGTTTATGCAAACCTGCAGCCTTTACTTAATCCTTCCCTAGTTAAGGCACTACAAGGCACCACTGATGATTCTTTAATTTTTTATCTCGAATTCATTCTCCTACACCACACTCTATAATATGTAGATATTCAAATCTACTCTGAGAAGTTCAGGCTATGACTCTATAAACAGCTTCACTAAACCAAAGGTGGAGATGTCAGCACAAGAGAGGGCTACAGCTCTACCAGCTTCATCTTTCTGCATTGTAGTTGGGGTTTAATGGGATAATCACTGATTGATCTCTCCCTGGTTCGGTTGAGAGAAGCTGCCTCTGAGGGAAACTTCAGCTGTGGAGCTGCAAAACACCAAACAAACAGAAGGACCCTGGAAAAGAACTGCTGTCACTGCAGATGTTTTGTTAAGGAGAGCAGCAACAGAGCAACCACTTCAGAGCATGAGCACCAAAGCAAGGCCACTTCCAGAGACTCCTTCTGTGACAGATTCAGGTCTGAAGGACCAAACCTGAAAGTTCCTCAACTTCTTCAAACAAAAGCTGATTTCAAAGTATCTTGCCTTTTAATCCTTCTTGACATCACCCATGCACAACACGAGCTTAAGGAATGCTTCCATTACAGAAGTCCCTTGAATAAATCATTTCTCACCACTTGTACCCTCAGTAATGTTCAACTTTAACGAGTGCATGCATCCCAGGGGACTATAATCCAGTGTTCACTGGTTTCCAGATATGAACTAGAAGGTTATGTATTTGCTATGAGAACAAGACAGACCTCACTGCCAAGTTGAGCGCCAAGAAGGATAAAAACTAGCACACAAAGTAACTTTACAGATGAACAAGCTTTGCCTTTCCCTTGATTTTCTAGTAAATCAAGGCCTGTTTTGTAATTATTTCTCAATTCATACAAAGTCTTCTTTATACTCAGGAGGGATACTCACCTCCAGCCAGAGTCATTCCTCATCACTAACAACTTCCCTCTCCCTGCAGGCTTGCTCAGACAACAGCCCCACACCATCAGAAGTGCATGAAAAATCTTGTTTGCAAACTGCAGTTAAGCTGTGTCTTCTGGTATCAAAGTAAACCCTGATAATCTCTTACATACATATAAAACCACTGGCTTATGTCACTTGTAAGAATCAGCCTCTTCCAGGAAGAATAGCAAAAAAGATTGACTCTATTTGCAGAAATCTCCCGCTGCAGTATCACAATAACATTAAGATGTTCTCGTGGTATTGCAATGGGAAAATTCCCACAAGAAACAAGAAATACCACAAGAGCATAAACATAAACAACATCAAAGACAGCGAGTCTTGCTCAGAAAAAAAACAAACAACCAACCAAAACCACCGCCCCTGCAGAGTGGTTGGAAGCATTTGTGGGTGGAAACTCCAAGAGGAGCATTATAGAAAAGTGACATGAAAATATGGCATCGCTCCTTGGCTCCGGTGACGTGATCTTCAGGAATTTAAAGCACAAGTTGCTGTGTTAGGTCTGTAACTCGCACAGCCACAAGCCCAGGGATTTGCAGAGCGTGCAGCCAGCTGGATACACACACGGGCTTCTGGACAAGACCCTGACTCAGGTCACGCCAGAAACAGAGCTGAAAGAGTGCCAGAGCTTGCCACCATTCCATAGCGCATCCAAACCCCACAGGCTCTCAAAACATCTCGTGGTTTAACATAAAAGGTACCAAGTTTCAGCTTTATCAGGCAACCCCTACCTGATGTTCTACTCATTGAGCAACCAACCAACTCTGGAAAGCCCTCACTGCAAATGCCAGTGCCAACTCACGGATCCCCTGCTCCCTCAACACGGACCCGAGCGGCGCCTCCCGCTGCTCTGCATTCCCAGAAAACACCAACGCTTCCAGCTCGGAGCCTGCAGCTCGTTCCCTGCAGTGCAAGGCAATGCTAAGAGTAATAGAGAGAAGCAAAAACCACTATCCAGGCTGTAGGAGCCCTGATGAACGTGGGAAGTGCCAGCGTGGCAGGATAGAGACCTCAACTGGGCATCGACGTGAAACTTCAGCCCCCAACACCAAACCAGCAGCATTTTAGCAAGAATTATTCACCTTCACCCAACTATTCTCCTCAAATGCTTTCAAAAATTTATTTCCCAGGTTAGTATGGAAATTCTCTTGCATAATAAATGACTTTCTGGAACAATTCCACGTGGAGTAGCAATACACTTCTAATGCTTAAAAGTTAGTTTACCATTTCTATTAGTGATTTTAATAATTTGTTCATAACTTTCCATATACATTAAAAAAAACACATCACTGAAGAAATCTGGCGTGCAGTTTAAGCTATAAAGTTTCTACTGCAGAATACCACAGTCAATACTTCCCAGAGTTTGCACGCCCTTCAGAAGGACCTGAATGTTATTTTTATATTTTTGCACTCATAATAATGACAGTATTTACCCTCATATAAAGCAAGCCCTTGCGGGACAGCTAAAAATCAATATGGTAGTGATTTTGGGGATGTGTCAATGGCACCAGGAAGGTAATCACGACTAACCAGTTTGCACCCAAGGCTATTGCTGGATCATTTCACATCAGAAATGATCTCTCTCCGACACATCCAACAAAATGGAGCTTGGATTTAGGTTAATCTCAGCCAGGCACCACGCTTAATTGGCAAGAAGGTCACACAGTGATGCTGGCAACATCACTATGCTCATACACCGTAAGGTGTGAGTCATAAAAATCAAGAAAGTTCCAAAAGAGAAGGCAAATCCCTAGTTAAGAGAAGGAACAGAGCCGGCAAACCCTGCAGAGAGGATATTGCAGAGAGCAGAGGGAAGCGGAGCCTGCAGCTATGCCGAGACACCACAGAAACTTCACGTCCAGCCCCATCTTTCCCCCCGTGTCCGAGGGGAAAGTTCTGTTTTTGTCAGAATTTGGTCAAAACTCAGCGGCCCCGAGTGACGTGCAGAAAGGGCAAAATCATTATTCACGAGGAAAAAGCTTTTCAAAACGCCTTCTCCGGAGTGGTGTGGGAGTTGTTTTAAACCAACACGCCAGATTCTCACCGATACCAGAGCTGGGGGGGGTGGGAAGCTCATGTACGCGCCTTCTCGCATTCGAGACAATTAGCCCTTAATTAAAAGCAACGCCAGAGCAGCGCAGCTTCAGAACTCGAGCAACTCCAGGCTCGCTTAACACAATTCTGGAGGAAAAAAAAAACCCCGAAGACCGCGCCAACCAAGAGACCATCCAGACCGCCGTCCGTCGCACCCTCCAGCGGAGCGCCCGCATTCCCGGGGATCTCCCACGCCCGGGGGGCGACCCGGCACCCACGGGGGGCGACCCGGCACCCACGGGGGGCGACCCGGCACCCACGGGGGGCGACCCGGCACCCACGGGCGGCTCCCGGAGCGCTCCCCACGGGCAGGGCCGGCGTCGGGGGCGGTGGGGGACGGGACGGGAGCCCCGCAGCAGGACGAGGCGCCGCGTTAATGCGATCAGCGGGGATCAATGAGGCGCGGCAGGAGCACGGACCGAGCAGGACCCGGCACAGGAGCCCCCCTCGGGGCACCGCTGCCATCCCAGACACGGAGCCGTCTCCGCGACCCCGGCGCTCGGAGCTGCCCCGGCCCCGCTCCGTCCCTCCCGAGGGATGCGGGGGGCTCGGCGCTCCCCCTTACCCGCACCCCAACTTAGTTCCCCGAAGTTGCCCACCTGCCGCCGGGCCGCCCCCGGCCGTGCCTGCAGCCCTTCCCGGCGGAGCCGCTCCGGGTAATCCTGCGGCTCCCGCGGCTCCCGGAGCCTCTTCTGGAGCGGCGCTCGCCGCGCTCCGGGCGGCGGGGCGGGACCCACCCGATCTCCCGCCCACCCGCTCCGCACCCACCGCCCCCGGGCCGGCACAGCCCAGCCTGGCACAGCCCAGCCCAGCCCGGCACAGCCCAGCCCAGCCCGGCTCAGCTCCCCCGGGTGCCGCCGGCGCCGCCGATGCGCTGTGCGGTGATGGTGGGTACTCCCCAGAGCCCCCTCTGGAATCCACCTGGGGAGGGTAAATGCGCTCCGGCGGCGGGCTTAGGAATGACGGGGAAAGTTGACGCGTTACGGGCTTAAATTAAAAATAATAAAAAAAAACTCTATGGGTTTTTATTTCTGGGCTGGAAGCCCAGGGAAAGAATCAGGTTCACGTAGGTCGCTGTGCAGGAGCCGGATGGAGGTTTTATTGAGTCTGGCTCCAGCTCATCGCGGTATTAGAGCTGTGCTGCTGTAATTAAGGCTGAGCAGAATTTCTTTCAGTCCCTTTTTTTTTTTTTTTTTTTTAGAGGGTTATATAAGAAACAGTACCAAGTTTCCTGAAACCTCTATTATCTTTCAGCATCCCAAAGCACAGGGAAGAGTACATTATAATAAAATGTGCATTAGCCTGCTGTGCCTCAGTGGAAGCCAAGTTACACCAAGGATGGCTTTGGCTTCGTAGCCAGAGTGAAGTGTCAATGCAAGAGAACCAATCATAGCACCAGAGAATGTTTAGGGTGTGGAGGGACCTTAAATATCATCTCATTCCAATCCCCCTGCCATGGGCAGGGACACCTTCCACCAGCCCAGGTTGCTCCAAGCCCTGTCCAACCTGGCCTCAGGCATCTTCCAGGGATGGGGCAGCCACAGCTTCTCTGGGCAACCTATGCCAGGGCCTCCCCACTCTCACAGGGAAGAATTCTTTTCTAATATCCCATCTAACCCTATTCTCTGGCACTGTGAAGCCATTCCCCCTTGTCCTGTCACTCCAGGCCCTTGTAAATAGTTTCTCTCCATCATTCCTGTCAGCCCCTCCAGGCACTGGAAGGCCACAGTTAGATGACCCTGAAGCTTCTCTTCTCCAGACTGAACAATCCCAGTTCTCTCAGCCTTTCCTCACAGCAGAGCTGCTTCAGCCCTCTGATCATCCTGATGGCCTCCTCTGAACTTACTTCAATAAGTTGATGTCCTTCCTGTGCTGGGGACCCTCCCAGAAGTGAGAAAGGACTCGATGACTGTCCTCTGGTACACAAAGGGATCTGGGACAAGGTGACAATGCTTTGCTCTCTGGGCACTGAGGGGAAGGACATGGGGAATAGAGTTTTCTTCTTCAACGAGTAAGATTTAAGTCACTGCCACCTCTGTTTCCCTTTCTGTCCGTTTCTGTTGTGAATTATTGAAATGTGCTGGCTGGGAAATGGTGACAGTCTCCTCTGGGGATTAGGAGAAACTTGCACAGCATCTGTTGACCCAGACTTAGTGCAGGAGCCCTGACCTGAAAAGATGTCCTTACTTTTCTCTGTATGTGCAAGTCCATAATTAAGGAATGTCCAGCACTGAAATGTAGCCACTTCTGTAATGAAATGTGGCACTGATCTGAGGAAGGGATGTCAAAAAATAAATTATCTCAGAAAAACAGGATGCATTTTTAATTGGCAGAGCTTGGTCCCGTTGGACTCATAGAGCTGATGGAATTACAGTGATTTAACGAGTTACTGTACAGGAGCTGAGCACTGAAATTTGTACCAATAGGGTTCAGCTCAGCCCTGGCACGGAGCAGGAACGTGCACTCAGCCTGTTTGTGTAGCTCAGCTGATGTATTACAGTCTGGTGGCTCCACCACATCTCTAAACCTCCACTTTGGGCTCTTGCCTGGAAGATAATATTAACTCTTGGCTATTATTGCACAAAGAATTATGACAGGACTAGGGTTGAGCCTTAGTCTCACAGCAAACTCCAGCTCAGGTAGGAGTGTGGTGGCTGTGGGCGCCTCTGTGGGGCAGTGGCAGCACAGACCCAGGAGCAAAACCCAAATGCAGATTTGGCTTCCTCAGAGTTCTGCTGTTCAGAATTCACGACACCCGATTCACTGGGGCTTATGAGAGCTGACAAGGTCATGGCCCTGTGGCACAGCTCTCCACGTGGAAATATCAGCTTTAGCTGTGCAAGGCCAGTGTGAGAACCATAGCCTGTATTTTTATGCTTGACCGACCACAGAGGCTGTTAAAACTTTGAAAATGCATTCTGCAGTTTGCCTTCCCTGGTGTCCTTTGTCACCTCCAGCTCGGACCCACATTTGGACTACTGCAGCCAAATAATATATTTTTTCAATTTCAGTTAAGTCAAGGACTTCAAATTCCTATCATAGGTGTCAGGTTACACCACACAAGAGATGCTTTTATTTTAAGTTTGTCAGAGAGGCACTTTATGAGACTGCGAGGTCGAAAAGATGACTCTAATCTGTGAGATGACAAGTTAAAAAGGACAAACCCCATTCTTTCCCTCACCTATTTTCTAGCAACCCAGGCATGTAGAAATAGCGGGTTTGTAAGTGGTTTTCCTGTATTTATTTCAGACAACACAGCGAACCTGCAGTATCCCCATATAGTTACTGTAAGTAAGCAAGTCATAGATGGTAAATTCTCTGAGGCTGCCTGGCACGTACCTGATGCTGAGGCTGCATCACAGTACCTGCTCCTGTGATGCCCTTCTGCCATCTGGGGCTTCTGGACCTACTGCAATATCCATGTCCAATAATAACAACCTAATTGCAAGCCTCACGCTACTTCCAGCTAATGATTTTTTTTCAATTCCACTTGTCATTCAAACATCACTGTCGACGTGTCTCCCAAACGATATGTGAAGAACGGGGATGCTTCTACTCTAGTGGTGTGTAATTAATGCTTCCTAAGAATTAAAGTGGGGGAAAAAAAGCACTCTAATTTGTGAGCACAGGTGTAATCAGGTACATTAATGTCACATTTACACTTATTTAAATGAATAATTTGTTTTGAAGACCCAGCTTAACCCTGTCCATCCTGCTGTGAGCTGGTGAAGACCTAAACTACCAAGTGAGCTCTTGCCCCTATTAGCTGCACCCCCCTCACTGCTCTCTGCCATAATTGCTATGTCTGTTTCATATACTTTCAAGTAATATTTCTCTTGCCATGTTCATATTTTCAGCACATGGATTTCCTCTACAACCCTTTGTGTCCTGCTTTGACAAACCCTGATTTTAGATGGGAATTTAGCCACCAGTAACAAGTTGATTCAGATACACCATAAATTCCTCCAGAAAAAAATCAATCATCGCTTATCTCCCACCTGCCTTAGCTTTTGAAGACTTTTTCTTACCACTGGCAGAAATACCATCTCACCTCAAGCTTAGGTTGAACTTGTTTTGTAAAACACCTCTAGGACATTGTCAAAGCGGGGTCTAGTCAATGGGACTTGATGGACCATTAGCCTGGTCTTACCACGGACAGTCACTGCTATCAGTTTCTTTACAGGTAGATAAATCAATTAACTTAATCTGAAACAGCCACAAGAAAGAAGAATGTTAAAAATAATGTCTTTCTGTGTGTAAAGGTTGTAGCATCCCAACTTTTCCACTCACACTTTCAGGCATAATAACGTTAATGACAAAAATCTATGGACAAAATTATGTGATGCTTTGGATGCAGTTAAATGAGTAGAAAATCGACTTTTCCCAGTTATACTTATGGGAACCTTATTTAAAGATAAGTGCTTAATGTAAATTTAATCTTTGTAATTTTTAAGAAATGCTTCTCTCCTTAAGCCAACATCAATATCAACTAATCTGAGGCTTGATCTGCAGGCACAGTTAATAGATTATGCATTTCTTTCAAGATCGAGGTCAGCTGTAGTGGCTAGATGTTTTTTTGAATATCTGTATCCCAAGACAGCATTCCAGTTCTCCAGAGCACAGGGAGATTCCTTACTGTGGTGGTGTCACAGGATAAGCTGCATTCACTCCTGTGCCTGGTCCACAGTCACCTCACATCTCACATCCTTGGTGCTCCCCCCACTGACACCAATATCATTCGTGCTCCTCCTGCTGCATTTTGTCCCTATTTTGGAGAATCCTGCTCTCCATAGGCTTGGGAGGCACTGTGTTAAAAAGGATAGTGCTCTCAGGAGCATCCAGCAATGCCCTGGTCCAGTTTCACTGAAGTCAATGGCAACACTTCTTTTGGCATCAAATCCAATCAATTTAAAATTCCCATTTCATTGTCTCCATGAGCTGCAGCTCGTGCTAATAAATGGAGAGTGTAACTGGTGTGTGGAGCAGCAGGAGGGAAGGGCCGGGAGGGGGAGGCTAATGAGAGGCCCTGTCTGTATTAAGGAAATTAATTATGTGACTGGATTAAACTGCAGCACTGGAAGCCTCACTTTGCCCTGACACAGACTATGTGCATTAAAGGTTTATGCTGCTGTAATAACCACAGCAGTGGTGTTATATGGATGCAAATGTCCTTAATGCAGGCAGGACCTGCATCAGACCACAGTGACTAATCCAAAACCCATAAAAGAAAGTGAATTACGTGCAATTGTGCTGGAGAGCGTGGTACAGAAAGAAAATGATAATAGGAAGGTTAAGTGCCCAGCGAGTGCAAACTGATATACAATATCTTGAAATCACAGAGAAAGAAAATTAAAATGGTGAAATGATTTCGCATATAGGTAGATGGAGGCATAAAAGCAATCTGTGAACTCTGGGAGAGAGAGTGGAGTGAGAGTGGTACTGTCAGAGGTACAGCCTTTTGCCTATTAGAAATAAGTGGTGGGAGGCTAATTCCGATAAACAGGCAATTTCAGTTTTGTCATTATTTTGGGTTTCTGTTTGACTCTGCTTTTGTGTGTCATTGAAATATTTGTGTATTAATAGATACCCATTTTAATAACACTACAGTAATTTGAACATCTGCAGCTCCTAGGCATTAAGACACAATTAGTCCCCTATATTTCAAGTTACTTTCGCAGCACTTCTTCCTGATTTTCTCGTATCTATTAAAATGCAACA